CAAGCCTTAATTTATCCACTATCATTTGTTATAGAATAATAAAAATCATTACATTATAAGCAAAAATTACTCTAATTGCATATTTTACACTTCGAAAAACACTAAATACACTAAAAATTTTAATCAAAATAATTATCAGGGCATTTTTATACACAAAATTAATCTTTTTCCAAATTTAATAAATAGAAGTTTTTTTGGCAAAAAACACACTTATTTTAGTCAAAAGCTTGACAATTTTCAACTTAAATCTTAACACACTTTTATTCTTATAAAAAAAATCCAATTGGGCAAAAATCTACACACGTATTATTATTTTCTAAAAGGACTTTTGTCTCTTCACATTATATACAAAGTAACTCGCTTTCGCATGCAATGCAGTATTTTGGACATTATTCACATTTAAAAGTCTTTTTATTTACATAAAAGTACTACGGACAAATCCCTGTACAGTTTTATTCATAAAGGAAATAATTTTCCATACACTTGGAACATTAGTTCACATTATTAAGACATTCTATACAATTTTCAACTTTACAGGGCAAACATTAGGTGTTTATCTCGTCTTAATAGAAAAATTAGATAGGACATTTGACGTAACATGCTTTTATGAGTCCAGATTACTCTATGTATTTGTAGTGTTTTGAATCACAGGACTCACAGTAGTCATATTAAGTGCATTTTTTACAATTAAATGAACATTATTGACATTAAGTGTTGTTTAATTTGTAGAAACCAATATTATTCGAACAATTTCTGACACACATATTTTCTTAGACGAGCATATTATTGTTACATTAAATACAGAGATTTTATTTATACAAGATACAGTTTAAAATATATATTTATTGACATGAGTCTAGTTTAATATCTTTATAATAACCATCTGGACATTCATTGTTTAAAAGAATGCAAATATTTTGGTAAAGAAAATAGCCTAAGCTACATTCTAAGCAAAAATTATCTAAACTCTTACACTAAATACATGGAAATTTACACTAAATGCACATCCTATATTAAATATCAGGAAAAAAGCCTTTGGGACAATTCTATAGACACTAATTTTAATATAAAAAGTATTAATTTGTGCATTTTACGCAAACATTCACATCCAAAAGGCAATTTTCACATTTCTTAGTCTTACAAGGAATACATTTTTTTTCTGGTAGTTACATAAAAAAGCCTTTAGGATTACATATATCACAATAGAACTTATTATAACATTATACACAATTATCTTTACAGGCTTCACAAATAAAGTTTTAAGGAAAGTATTTATCTGGACAAGCCTAAATACAGTTTTAATTGTGTAAATATAAGCCTTTTTAACATTATAAACAGGTTGATTTATTATATAATAAGCAATTCTATATATGCATTTTTACACAGTTTTTATTAATTTAATCCTTTATATAGCCATCAGGACATTCCTAAATACATTCATATTTAACATCTGTATTATTTATATTATATATATGTTTAAAAAAAGAATCCCCGCATAAATCACAATTATCATAATCACTACAAGAGATACAATTACTAATACATGATGAACAAAATTATACAGTTCTTTGATAAGTACCTTAACTACATTATTTAGTACAAAAAGTATTTGTAATATCTAAAAGATAAGGATCTGAACATTAAGTACATGTATTTTCACTTTAATAAGTACAGTTTAAACAGTTTGAATCTGTACATTATATACATTCATCACTTTCACTATTATAAAAATAACCATCAAGCACACAATCATTTTATATTAAACATTTACTAAATGGATTAGTATTATTTCTGGAATTTTTCAAAGGAATAAAACCACTTATGCATTTGTTACATGAAATACTATCTATACAAATTAGACAATTCGCCATACATTAGAAACATTAGCCGATTGCATTTTTATAAAATTTCATAGGACAATATTTTAAGCATTAATCTAAGGTACCATTTGGTTATTTATAATATTTATATGCACATTTAATACAAATTTAATCATTATTAATATCACATTATAAACAATTCTCTGCTTTACAGTTTTTTTATACACATTATTTGCCTGTAATGTCTATAAAATAATCTTTTGGACATTTATCTACACAACTATTTTGTTATAAAAGCAATTTATTATCATCACATTTCAAGCAGAAGCTCGAATTTACGCACTAAACACAATATTAGGTACATTAGTGGCAAACATTAGCAGACATGAAATAATAAGGCGGGCATTAATTAACACATTAATTATCATGTAAAAAAATGGAATCTAAATTTGCACACTAGACACATATTTCAAAACTATTACAATATAAGCAATTTGGAGAGCATTATTCACATCTTTATTAATTAAATTAATAAAATAGGACTTTGGGCAGTACGTTAGACATTTATCTACAGAGTTTTCATTATAAATGTAAAAACCAACTAAACATTAATTACATAAATTTTAATTTATGCATTTAAGACAGTTATTAACACATTTTATGCATTTCATTTATACTTTATCAGCATAATATTAATCCGGACATACATCTGTACAAGAAAATTCATTAATAAGATATAAATTAGGACCACATTCTAAGCATTCGTCTTTACTTTTTCCAAAGCATGAACTACATAAAGGATCACATTTCATACACTAAATTTATTTTTCTAAATAATAACCGTTTGTATAATCACAATTTTTATAACAAATACCATTTATTAAAGAATAGCCACTATAACAATCTATGCAATTATTAAAAAAAGGTCCTCTGCATTATTTACATTATTTATTACATATTATATGAACAAATCTAATATATAAATACAATTATAAATAAATATTTATATTTATTATTTTTTGTTAAAAACTTTTTTTATCTGAAAAAATTCTCGGGATGTTAAGGAGTATATATTTAAAACCAATCTATTTTTTAACATTATCTGTTTTCATCTAAATATCTATCTGAAGAGCACATAATACAAGTTTTTGATTATATATCAATTTTTAAGCAACCTATAATATCTATACTTTTACAATATCCTTCGTAATAAAAAACTAAAAATAAAAAATATAAATATATATTATATTTAAATATATAGATGTAAATATTAAATATTATACAATAAAAAGGACAATCTTTAGCATCTTTTTCACAATTTCCATTATTTAAAAAATATGTAGAATCCTTACATTATAAACATTTATAATTTAAAGATTTTATACAATTAGAGTTACTATTATTAATACTTTACACAATACCAAAAATTTAATTTATATAATATAAATCATGCATTAAATCATTTAGATAAACACAACGGAAATCATAGGTTAAAATCATCCCTAAAATACATCTTGAGCAGTTATTAATTTAGTTCCCAAAACAACTTAAACAGGAAGGATTACAATCTAAACAATTCCCTGAAGATGGATATTAGCTAAAATTGCAGTATTTACCTTAACATTAATATCCAATCATGAATTTAGAAATATTTAGACATTCTGTACAATAAAATTCATCTAAACATTAAGAACATCCAGGTTAACATTTCTTATATAAAATTTCAATATTTTATAATCCCAATTTTAAATTAATATTATCAGATAATACTTATAATTAAACAATCTGTATTAAATAAAAATAAATATAAAAAAAACAAGGTATATATTTGTAGGTAATTATATAAATATAAATAAATATATATATATATATATATATATATATATATATATATAATATATATATATATTTATATATTTATATATTTTAATATTTATTATATAATAATTATTAATTTTTAATTTTTTTTTATATATACGAAATCAGTTTAAAAGGAATTATTAATATTACTTTCAATTTAATAAATATTATCATTTTCAATAGTCCCACATACATTTTCTTTTTTAGAATTAACTACAGTATATTATAATTCTCTTTAATCAATTTTAATATTTATTTAATTTATATTTTCTATCAATGAATCTACATCTATTAAACTTAAAGATAATAAAATTTCGAAATGCGGTTCTTCTATTTTAGTTCTTAATACATAAAGTTATTTTACACTAATATAAGGTATTTAAAATTTAGTTTTAAGGTTATTTAAGCAATATATTTAACAGTTTTAGATTATAAATTTAGACATATTAATATCATATAAACTTGGAATGTAGGATTTTAATTTATCATCAAAATTATCACTACATTAATTTTCATAAATACTTTTCTAATATGCAGTTATATATTCTTTTTTTATTAAAAATAATATTTATATATAATTAAACCTAATAATTGCGAAGATTATTTTATTAGTAAGGTTTATATGAATATTAAAAATATTATTTTAAATTTCATTTAAATTTATTTTTTAATTTTTTTAAGATAAAAATTTAAGCTTTATAATTTTTTATTTAATATAATTTATATAAAAAAAGAAAAATTTAATTTTAAAATAAACTGAAAATTAAATAAATTTTAAAATAATTATTAATATAAAAAAAATTTATCTTATTATATTTTTGTCAAAAAAAATAGGAATGGAAATTATAAAAATATATAAATATTTTTTATATATTTAAAAAAAAATGAATAGTATATATTTTAAAAAAAATATATTTGTAATATTTCTAATAAAAAAAATTTAAAAATATTATTAATATAATTAGTCTATTATTAAATAATAATTAAAATATATATAAATAAATTTAATCATTTAAACATTTTTTAAAAATGAATAAATAAATTATAATTTTATATTTTATTTATAATAATATATTATATTATATTAATAAATTATATTTATATTTATATTTATATTTATATTTATATATTTTAATATTAATATTACTTATTTTTTTTTATATTTTTCTATTATAATATATATATTTTTTTTTATTTTATAATAAATAAATAGACAAAACTAAATAATTAAATAAAAAAAAATATGCTAAATCTAATAAATCTATTATTTTTATTAAGAAAAACTTAAAAAATAATAATATAAATTTTAAAAAATAATTTTCAATCTTTTTTAACTTTTTTTTTTTAAGTATTATTTTATTCCTCTTACTCTTCATCATCTTCTTCATCCTCTTCTTCTTCTGCTTCATCTTAATCATCATCATCTTCATCACATTCTTCTTCATCTTCGTTTCCATCATCATCATCAGCTCCTTCATCTAATTCATCTTCATCATCACTTTCATATTCATCCTATTTTTTTTTTTTCTAAATATATATAAATATGTATTTACCACTTCATCATCATCCTCGTCTTCATCATCATATTCAACTTCATTTCCATCTTTGTCTTTATCATCTAAAATTTGAAGAGTCGATAGTAAAGCAAAAACACCTTGAGGATATTCTTTATCAATAGTAACCTTATTATTTGTCAAATCTAATTATTAAAGTTTTTGGAATTACTTAAAGACTTCTAGATCATTTAAAGTTTCAATTTAATTATTTATTAAAGATAGAGAAATTAATTATTTTAAATGTAAAATATTTTTCAATTGATTTCCATGAATTTTATTATCATTTAATTCCAGTCTTTCTAAATTTGTTAAAAGTGGAAATTTTTCTAAACTATTTATTTGACAAGAATTTAAAGATAAACTGCGCAAATTTTTATATTTTTCTAATGTTTTACATAATTAATCTTCGAATTTTTCAACTTTTTAACCATCTAAGATAATTTCTTCGACTTCGTCTGGTTATTGGTTTTTTGTTTATTCTTTTATAAGATCATATGTATTTGTCATTTTTTTATTATTTTTTATATTAATTTTTGTTTTAATATTAATATCTATATTTAATTTTTTAGTCTTTTTATATCAGTTATTATTTTACATAAAAAATAATTAAAATTATTATTATTTTTATTTATACTTCCTATTTTTTAGATTCTTAATATTTATATAATTATAAAAAAATGATTTTTTGATTTTTTAATATAATGTAAAAATAAATATATTTATATATTAATAAATATATATTTAAAAAAGATAATTAATATGTGAATTATTAAAAAAAATAAAATATTGTTTTATATATAAAAAAATAAAAATAAAAAATTATATATATAAAGTATTATTTATTTATATAAATAATATTAAATTAAATATATTTATAAAAATAAATATAATATTATATTAATTAAAAATAAAAAAATAAATAAAAAAAATTGAAAAAATTAATAAATAAATATTAAAAAATATAATATATATATATATATATATATATATATATATATATATATTTATATTTATTTATATTAAAATATTTTTAATTATATTTTTTTAATTTTGTTTTCAAATTTATTTAATTTAATATCAAATATTAATAATAATTTTTATTTTCAACTAAAAAAAAAATATATATTTTTAATTTCTAACAATAGCAACATTATAAAATTATATATTAAATTAAAAAAATCATTTATTAATAAATTTTTTATCAATTATCTTAATTTACTCTTGCCATTGCTTTTTATCTTCCAGTATCAGATAATCCTACTGTTTTATTCCAAACATATTATTATTTACCTAAATCAGAATCAAAATCTACTGTAAAGAATCCTTATCTTTCAAATTAAAATCTATCTAAATGATTTAATAATCCTACTAATCTTTTATTCATTTTAGCATTTTTTTTAACCACAAGCGAATTTTTATTGATAATAGTAATTAAATCTTTTTTACTTTCAGTTGGATCTTCATTAAATAAGCATTCATAGAGTCTAACTTAACAATCCAGACTTTCCTTTACACTAACCCAATTAACATAAGTTTTCGGTTTTGGTGCATTTTCCTTAATAAACTCAATCAAAACTTCCTAAACAACTCCATTTTAATCAGCCTTGACATCCAAACACTTAAAAACTCCTGCATATTTAAGTCCAACTATCTTGCCTTTGGCAAAGCCGAAGAAATCCTTATGATCTTTCATCAATGTATCTTCCCTTTCTACCCATACTTAATTAAATAGTGTAATTTTATGGCTTCCTCTTTCCAGATATTTCGGGAAATCTGGAGCATCTATTTCTAGGGAAAAGTTATCGTCTAAATTGACTATTTTAACCAATACAGGATCAACTACAGCCAAAGTTCTTTTAGCCACATTATCTAAATCTTTCCTGATACAATGTTCTAATAACTAGAATTATATGATATTCTCATTACCACTTCTTGTGACAGAAACTAGCTCACAAAAATCATTAATACCAGCTGGAGTATATCCTCTTCTACGCATTCCTTAAATAGTTAATAAACGAGGATCGTCCCATCCATTTACATGTTTATCGAAAACAAGAGTTTATAGTTTTCTTTTAGAAAGTACAGTACTTGATACATTTAATCTTGAAAACTATAAAAATTTAAAAATATATATATATATATATATATATATATATATATATATTAATATTTTTTTATGTATTACCTCCCATACATAAGGTCTATATATTTATAAACTTTTTAAATACCAATAATATAATTCTCTTCTAATTTCAAATTCTAAAGTACATAGTGAATGAGTAATACCTTCTAAAGAATCACAAATAGGATGAGTATAATCATAAAGTGGATAAATACACCATTTATTGCCTGCATGTGGATGACTTACATATCTAATTCTATATATAGCAGGATCTCTTAAAGTAGTATTAGGGCTTTTATAGTCTATTTTAGCTCTTAAAACAGCCTAAAATTATATATATATGTATATATAGAAATTTATAAAAATATATATGTTTACCGATCCTTCATCCCATAAACCAAGTCTCATTTCTTCAAAAACTTTCAAATTTTATTCTATAGGGCGATCTCTATAAGGTGAAGGTAAGCCTTCATCTCTATATTTTCTTCCATCTTCAATATTTTAATGACAGACATAAGCTAATCCTTTTTTGATAAGTTTGACTGCATATTGATATAATATATCAAAATTATCAGATGAATAAGTCACTTTCCAAGGTTCATATCCGAGCCATTTTACATTATCTTTTATAGAATTTATATATTCCATATTTTCTTTTTCTGGATTAGTATCATCAAACCTTAAATAGCATTTTCCTTTATAATCTGAAGCTACTGTGAAGTTAAAACGGATAGATTTAGCATGTCCTATATGTAAATAACCATTCGGTTCTGGAGGAAATCTTGTTAATATTACATTACCGAATGTTTTTTCCCTCAATTATAATAATTCAGGGGTATTTTAAGCTGCAGCTAGGTCTCTGCCGATTAAATCAGTTATTTTTTTCCTAGGTTCTTCTTAAAATTATCCATTATTCTCGGTATTATTTTCTTCGTTATTATTATTATTTTGGGCTGTTTTTTTATGTTTTTGGGATTCTTCCTTGGCTTTTTTTTATTTAATTCAATTTTCTGTTATTTATCTTGTTAAGTTTCTGGTCCTAAATAATTCTCATATTCTTTTTTAAATAAACCAGCAAGTATTTTACCATCTGCAAAAGGAAGAATTTCTCTCAAGTTTTTCATATATTCAGAAATACTAGTACAATATCTTAAAGTGTCTAATTCAGCTTTTTTTGTAGTTAAAAATTCACGGATTTTTTAAGAAATCTATTCTTCGCTTAAAGAAATCCCGATTCCGCATACTTTCTCTAAATCCTATATATTTATAGATACAGAATTTTTTAATACATATTCAATTGTAAAGTCTAATTAGTTCTAATTAGTTATTTTACCTTAGGAGATATATTTTGATAATAATTCTCTTTAAGCTTCTATTGTAGGTACTATTTTTGTAGCTAAAGAGTATAACATATTACCTTTTTTCTTATCACATTCATTTATTTAGGCACAGTCAAGAGTTTTAGTCAATGATTGGGTCAATTGTTTGTTCTTTAAAACATCATTTATTATTTTTTCGTCTAGATTTATGCTTTTTAATCTTTTTTCTAATTCTGATTCCATTTTTTTATTTTTTTTTTTTCCTCTATTTTTTAAAGATTTTTTTTATTTTTTAAAGATTTTTTTATTTTTTAAAAGTGTTTTTTATATTTAGTTTATTTTTTTTAAAAAAATAAATAAATAAATCAAATATCAATACATGAATGATTATTAATATTTAGAAAAAGTAATTTTTTATGATAAAGATGTAAACTAAAGAATAGTAGATAAAATAAAAATATCAGACCCAAAATTTAAAATAAAGCTCTCCGCAATCCATTACCATCATTAATAAAAAGAAAAATTAGACCGTTAATTACACGATGAATTATTTAAATTAAAAAAATAATATGAAAAAAAATAATTTGAAATAATTGAATAAAAAAATGTAATTGTTTTTTTTTTATAAAAATATATGAAATTATTATATAATAGAAAATATTAATGAATTAAGGCATTTTTTATGTAAATCCGAATTCAGATACTCATTAATTATTTTTAAAAAATACTTTACATTTTTCTAAAAAATATCAATATTAAAGAATTAATGACTATTGGATAACTGCTATAAGAAATTGTAAATTATTAAATGTATAATTAAGTTAATTAGATATATAATATGCTTAAAATTTATTAGCTGTAATATATATACATATATATATATATATATATATATATATATATATATAATTATTTAAATAAAAATATATGATAGATTGATATATAAAGATAAGAAAATTAAAGAGGATAATCTTATATATCATTGATATTCTTTTTCGATGAAAAATTAAAAGATTTAAATAATCATATTGTAACAGTATCTTTTTATATGTATGATTCTTTAAATTCATATAGATAAGAATGTAATGCTGAATTCTAAAATAAAAATTAAAAAGATAGAAATTTTAATTCATTTTTTATCTCTTTTTTTGCAACAATAAATCTTGAAGACTGTATAACTGATGTAAATATATTAAAATATAATATATATTTAAATATATATATACATAAAATTATGTATGTATATATATATTTATATATTTTTTTGATATATTAAGTAATCAGAAAGTAAAGATAAATGTAAAAAATTAGGAAAAAATTTTGAAATCGCAACTATTTTTAAAGAAGAATTAGTCCCGTTTAGCCTTGAGTACTATTTAAACGCAAGAACTTTAGATCTATAAGAAAAAGAGATTGACTAAAATAATTTTGATTATGTTAATGTTGGAGAAGAGAAAGAATTATAATAATAATCTTTAATTCATAAATTAAATAATGAAGAAAGTTAAAAATAAAGTTCCTTATATAATATCGATAATAACTAAAATGAATTTATTGATAAATCTTAAAATAATAATTGCTAATAGTAATGAAATATATTTTTTCATAAATTAATAAAAATATGTATTTATATTATTTTTTATAAAAATTAATAAAAGAAATTAAATAAAAAATAGTTCATAAATATTATGCAATATTAGTGAATTTTAAAAAATTATATGTTTTTTATAATAAAAATTAAAAAATATAAGAAATGTAATAAATTTTATTATTTTTAATTTTAATTACATTTTCATTATCTATAATTATAAGAGAATAACTTAATCTCAAATATATAAACGACATAACAAAAATAAAGTCAACAATAGAAGATTAATCAAGTTAATATCATCATTCTGCTTATAATAGATTGGCATATATAGTAGATACATACGGACCAAGATTATGGGTATATACTAAAAAAAATATAAAATAATTTAATATAACTTTAATCAACAAAAAAGGGATCTGATGTATTAGAAGCTGCAATAATGGATTTTTATTAATAAATATAATAAGAAAAAATAGACGTAAAATTAGAAAAAGTTTCCAATTTTACGAAATGGGAAAGAGGAAATGAGAATTTAACTCTTTTTGAACCACGTCTTCATCCTTAAAAACTTAATTTCATAGGATTAGGTTTGAGTGTACCTGGAAATGTTACTGCAGAAGCATTTTTAGTTACATCTTTTGAAGATTTAGAAAAAAATAAAGATAAAGTTAATGGAAAAATTGTAATTTATGCATTTCCATGGTAAAATATAAATAAAAAATATTATATAATAAATATATTAATATAGGGTAGATTACCCAACTACGGTTCAGTTTAGAACTTCTGGTGCATCCTATGCTGCTAAATATGGTGCAGTAGCTGTATTAATAAGAAGTATAACTCCGTTTAGTATTAATTCACCACACACAGGTGCTATGTAATACAAAGAGAAAGATGAACATGGTAAAATTTAAATATATATATAAATATATATAAATATATATAAATATATATATATATATATATACATATATTTACTAAATAACATATTTAATAGGTAATCCGATACCTAAAATCCCCGCAGGTTCCATTACGGTAGAAGATGCCGAAATGTTACTAAGAATGTAGAAAAGAGGTTAAAATATAAGAATAAACCTATATATGGAAAACAGATAAGTACCGAACTGTGAATCTTTTAATGTAGTTGCTGAATTAAAAGGTACTGAGTTTCCTGAAGAAATAATAGTTTTAGGAGGTCATATAGATAGTTGGGATGTTGGAAGTTAAACTGGTGCAAATGATGATGGTGGTGGTTTTATTACTACTTTTGAGGCTTTAAGAATTATATAAAAATTAGGACTTTAGCCTAAAAGGACTATCAGATTTGTAGCTTGGAGTGGAGAAGAATATGGAGGAAGTAATAGTGGAGGAAGTTAATATGCTTAATTACATAAAGGAGAAAATGTAATTTTGGCTTTCGAAAATGATATGGGATCTAGAACTTCTATAGGGTGGGGATTTAATGCAAAAAATAATACTTAAAGCTAACGTTTGAAAGATTTACTATAAAAATATATGAAAGTTTAATTTTTTTTTATTTTATATATTTTTATATATTAATAAGAATATTTATGGATTAACTAAAGTTTTTGATGGAGAAGGGGAAATGGTAGATACAAGCTGGCTTGGAGCTCCTATGATTAGAAATATTGCTGATGATACTAAAGATAATAAGTATTATTTCACTTATCATCATTCGGCAGGAGATACTATGAGTATTATGGATCCTGATTAGTTAGATTAGAATGTTGTAGGAATCGCATCTCTTGTTTATTTGGTTGCATAGGAAGGAATTTGAATATTTTTTATTGAAAACTATATGTTATTATTATAATTGTTATTTTTTAAAAATATAAATAAAGTTAAAATATTTTAAACTATTTGTAATAATAAAGTTTATATATTCATTTTTTTAAAAAAAGTTTAATTGCTTATTATTATTCATTATTTTAAATATATATTTTTTAATATAAATACAAAAAAATATGTTATTTTTAAAATTAAAATCTTTAGAAATAAAGATATTTTTTATAAAATAAAAAAAATAAAACAAATAAAAAAAAAATTTATAATTAAAGTTTTTATTTTTTTTATTATGAAATATAAATATCTCTTATTAGGCTAATATATGTTAAAATAAATATAATAAAATCAATATTTTAATAGCTATAACTATTGTAAAATATAAGAATTTATAAAATATAAAATAATTATATTATAATATTATATATATTTATAAATATAAATATAAATTAATATAAATTTTTATTTATATATAAATATTTTTCTTTAAATATATATTTAAAGATATATATTCTTTTAATCTTTTTCTTTATTTTAGTTTAATGATTTTTCTTTTACATATATAATTTTATTTATGCATTATTTAGTTTATAATTTTTTAAAAAAATTATAAGTTTATTATTTTTCATATTTTTTTTTTTCTGTATATATATATAAATAAATATTTTAATACAAAATTATTATAATAAATATTTTATGAATTAATAATTTATGTATTATTATTTATTTATTTTATATTTATTAAAAATAAAATCTAATATATATTATTTTTAATAACTTATTAATTTATTTTTATTTATACTATAAATATTTGCAGATTTTTAATAATTTTGAAAAATTAAATAGATGAATTAACAAAAAAATAAAGCGAAGATTATAAATATATTTTTATAATACAATTAATATATATATTATTCTTAAATTACATTAATTTTTATAAATTAATCATATTAATTTTAAATAATGTTAATTTTTTATAAGTTTTATTAAATATAGTTTTAATAAATTAATATTATTTATTATAAAAATTAATTAATTTTAACTATTATATAAATAAAAAAAATATATATATTTATATATAATTATATTTTTTTCTTTATAAAAAAAATAAATTAAAAATATTTTCTAATAAATATTCTATTATATTTAATTAATTATTAAAAATAAAAAAAAAATCACTTTAATATTTATTTATGTATACGAAAAAAAAAATTAATTTAAATTATATCAATAAATAAAAGGATATTTATAAAATAAAAATAAAAATATTTTAAATTATTTATATTATTTCTATTATTATAAATATAAATATTAATATTATATAAAAATGAAATATTTAAATTAATATATAAATAAAAGAAATATATATTATATAAAAATAACCTATTTATTATAGAAAGTTAATTTTTTTCTTATAATATTAATATAATAAATATTTATTTTTAAATAAATATTTATTAAAAATATTACATTATTTTTTTATATCTAAATTTTAATAAATATTTTAATTTTATATAATTATATATAATTATATATTAAATGATTAATTTTAATATTTAAATAATAATAATTTATATGTATTACAAATTCTATTCAATTTGTAATAATAGATAAAATTAATAAATAATATATATATATATATATATATATTTTCAATATATTCTTATAAATAATTATAATAAAAATGGATTTTTAAGATAATTAAATATAATTTTAAGCCGGAAGAATAAAAAGTTCAACTATTTAAAGTTGTTAACTTTTACATGAATAATAGAATTTGGCAGGCGAGAGTTTATTTAGAAGGAGGTTTTAATAAAAAAAGGAGAGTAATTATTTCACAATAAAACTACCCGCTCCATCTAAATATGAAGAAAATTAAAATAAATAAATGCTTTTTTCATAAAGATATAAAGTTCTGAAAAATTTAGGAGATGTAAATATATTTCTTTTAATTTAATAAAAAAAAAAAACATAAAATAATATAATATAAAAAGGGTGTATCTTCAATAGTTAAATTATGTTAATTAAAAGATAAAGAAAACGAAGATTTCAATAAGCTTTTTGCTGTTAAAATTTTTAAAATAAAATCTGTAGATGATACATTAGAAGTAATTTTTTTCATTAAAAAATAAAAATAAAAATAGATATAAAGAGAAGCCTAATTGTTGTAAAAAATAAACCATAAAAATATAATTGATTTAAAAGAAATATTATTCGAAAAGGCAAATGAAAAGGCCTATTTAGTTATTGAATATGTAAAAGGAATTACCCTTCAAAAATATATATAAGAGAACAAAAAAATAGATGAAAGAGAAGCATTTTTTATAATAAAATAAATTTTAGAGGCCATATATTATTTAGATACTTGTAATATAACACATAATGATATCAAACCTGATAATTTAATCATTAATTAAAAAACAAAAAAATTACATTAATTGACTTTTCAACTTCTAGAAAAGTAATTAAATAAAATAATTTGTAAACGAATTTAGGAACACTAAATTATAAAGCTCCTGAAAAATTTACAAATATTTAAAATAATCCGAAATCTGATGTTTGGAGTACTGGAGTTATTTTATTTTATTTACTTACAGGATTTCTCCCTTTTTAAGATTATTAGTATGTATTTTATAAAAATAATATATAATGTTTTTTAAAGAAATTCAAATGTAAATTAAGTAATTAGAAATATTAAAAATTAAATATTTTAAATCTAATTTTAAAATATGGTCTCTATATAAAGTTATATTATAATTAATTCTTTTTTACAAATTGATATAAATACAAGACCATCTTGTAAATAGGCTTTAGAAATGATTCCTTTTTAGGTTATTTTTATATTATTATTTTAAAAAAAGAAAAAAAAAAATAATTAAATTTTTTTATAAATAAAATTTAAAAATATAAAAGAAATATTAAATATTAAAAATAAATATATAATAATAATAAGAAGAAACAAAATAATATTTAAGATAAAAAAAAAAATGATTAAATGTAAATAAATAAAAAAAAATACATAAATAAAAATGATTTATATTATATATAAGTATTAATATAAAATATTTAATAATATAAATTAGTTTGTTAATATATATATATATAATATATATATATATATATATATATATATATTTTATATTCTATTATTTTATTTTGCTATACCGATTATAAATATATTTTTTTTATTTATAATATACAGAATTAATTTTAAGTTTAATAAAACATCTTTCAATTATTAAATAAAGAAAAAGTTTTTTAATAAATATAAGAATCAAATAATAATTCTAAAGATAAGAAATATTTTACAATTAATTAATTTAATGAATAATTTTAAAATAATTAAAATTAAGATGTATATGTAAATTAAACTTTTTTTAATTTATGAATTTATAATAAATTAAACAAATTTATACCAGTTTTATATTTTTTGTTAATTTTAATGCATATATCTTTATAAAAAATTTAAAAATATATTTTATTTATTTTAGTTAATTAATAATTATATAAAATAAATATTTATACAAAATTTTTTATTAATTTAAAAAAGATATGTAAACTGAGAGGATTATTATTTATAATAAATTAAATAAAAATTTAATAAAGTAAATTTTAGATACTAGTTAAAAAGGATGCACTTTTTATCAATTCGATTTTCAGAATCATATATTCGAAGATTTATAGAAATATATATAAAATTCAAAAAATGTTAAAATTTCATTTAAAAACTGTATTAATTTAGATTAAATTATTTATAGAAAAATTGGTTTTTTATTATCAAAAAATGAAAATTTGGCTAAATTTTAAATTTAGTTTTATGAATTTTCTACTGTAAATTTAAATGATATTGCTTATTTTTATTCTTGTCTTTAAAAAAGTAATTCTTTGAGAAAAACATATGCACCAAATCAATAATAAATAGTTTAACCTTTATCAAATTTATTTAATATTAATAAATATATATACAAAATTACTATAAAAATTATAGATGAGTAAAATTTGAAAGTATTAGTGTCTTTTTTTTAATTAATTTAAAGATAAATATAGATTTTAGTTATTTCTTAGTTGAAATAAATGAATAAAAAAAACTAAAATTTCGAAAAATTAATGCAGTTGATAAAAAATTTGGAAATCAAAAAAATAAAAATAAAATTTTTACATATAAATAATATGCAAAATAGTAGTTTTTTGAAAGTATTTGGAAATAAAAATATTAAAGAAATTTATATTAAAAATGCTAATTTGGTAAATTATGAATGTTTTTGGAAATTATTAAAAGGAATTTTTAAGAAAAAGAATGTTTTTTAATTTATTTGTTAAAATATTAATATAAAAAATAATGAAGATTTTATAAAAATGGACTATTTTAATAATATGTAGATTAAAAACAAAAGCTTATAAAACTTAGAATTAGGGTTTTTGTAAAATCATGAGTTTGTTTTAAATAATTCTTTTGTTTTTTTATTTTAAAAAGTATCTCGTTTATATATTTCTAATATATAAATAAGCTAATTAATTGTTTATAATATTTTTATATTTTCCTAGTTAAAATAATTACATGTATTTATGGAGAAAATTGAATAAATTAATTACATTTAATAAAATATTCAAAATGATTTATATTTTTTAGAAGTTTATATTGATATTATTAATTTTAATTTGTAAGAAGATAATAATAAAACATAAAAGAAATTTTAAAAAAATATAAACATATTAAGTATTGTTTTTATAGAAAATAAAAATAATATTTAAGTAAAAGAAAAAATGGTTTTGGATGTTTTTTCTTAAATATAAAAATATTAAAGAATAAATTTTTATAAAATTAAAATAAACTTAATTATTTAAAATTGTAATAATTTATCGATTTTATATTATAATTCTAATAACATAATAAAATTAGATATAAAAAGTAAAAATAATTTAATTATTATTAAAAATAAATTAATATTATAAATTATTGCTTTTAAATAATATTTAGAATTATATTAAAACTTTTCAGCATTATAAATATTATATGATTTAGTTATATGAAATTATATTTATAATATATAAAATATATAAATATTTAAATATATATATATATATATATATATATATATATATATATATATATATATTTTACTTTTTTTTTTTTATTACTTTTGTAATTTTTTTTTTTCTTATTTTAAAAAAATTTTTAAGAAAAATAAAATTTCATTATTTTTTTTTGTGACTTTTTTATTGTTTTTTAATAATAAAAAACAAAGATAATAATTTAAAATATTTTTATGATTTGTTATTTATATTTTTTTTTTATATAAAGTTATTAATATAATTATATAAAATTATTATTATCATATATATTTTTATTTTTTAAAAAAAATAAAAGTAAATATATATAAAAATTTAGTGATTAATATTACAAAATAAATATGTTAATATAATATTTCTTTATAATAATATTTATTCAAATAAATTTTACAAAAACCTCCACTAAAATTAAATGTGAAGCCAACACATAATTAAACACATGTTATTAATATAATCAAGAAAACAGTACAATATAAATAAATACAAGTCAAAATTGTAAATAATGTAAAGTAAACTTCAATACTTAATTAAAAAACTCACCTCTGTGTACGTCTGAAGTTTCCCAAGCATTAAAAAAAAGTTAGATAGGGCAACCCTGTTAATTGTTAAATGAGTGTTTAAGTAATAAATGTGAGAATAACGTATGCATAGGTGCAGTTTTAGGTGAAAAATGTGATATAAAAAATTATATTTTTTGTGATAAAAAGTTGTATTGTGGTCCAGATAATTTATGTATTGAAGTTCAGACTGAAAACTGCGAAAAAAACGAATAATGTCCTGTGAATATGTTTTGTGGTGAAAATAAAAAATGTTTGGAATTTTTCAGTTTATAAAAAGATCAAACAACTAATAAATTATTTTCTTTTGGAATATTTTTGAATTTCCAATGTAAATCTTTAGCCAGTTTAGATGGAAAATGTATAGAAATTTCCCAAAATAATTAAAATTTAACCCAATGTGGTGAAAATATAGGTGTTTGTGGATAAAATATAGATAACTTAGGAGAAAAGATTAATTGTGAAGAAAATTTTGCGGATAATAGGAATTTTTGTACTTTTGGAGTTCAAAATTAAGCTTTTTGGGAATTTTTATAAAAAGAATTTGTATAAAAAATAGTTTAAAAGAATATAGAATGTCCAAATGAAGTCAAAATGAGTAAAAATTGTATAGGTATAGGCTAAGTTTTGGAAGAAATGGAATATTTTGTTTATTTGTATTTAAATTATAATAAAATTTATGGAAGTTGTGTAGATGGGTTGATTAAAGAATAATATCCGGTATATTCGACCTTTTTTAACAAATTGAGTTAAACTTAGTTAGAAAAAGAAGAGTAGGTAAGACTATAAAAAGAAAGAGAGGAATAGGAAAGACTATAAAAAGAAAGAGAGGAATAGGAAAGACTATAAAAAGAAAGAGAGGAATAAGAAAGGCTATAAAAAGAAAGAGAGGAATAGGTAAGACTATAAAAAGAAAAGGAGGAATAGGAAAGACTATAAAAAGAAAAGGAGGAATAGGAAAGACTATAAAAAGAAAAGGAGGAATAGGAAAGAATATAAAAAGAAAAGGAGGAATAGGAAAGAATATAAAAAGAAGAACAGGAAAAAATATAGAAATAAAAGTAAGCGGAAGAAAAACGCTTAAAAGAATAACAAGATAGAATTGAGAAAGATAAAATAATATAGTAATAATAAGATAATTAAGGTTAAAAACAATAAAAAATTAAAACGATAAATAATAAGATTAAGAGGATTAAAATAATACTATACTAATGATTATAGTATTTCTTGTAATAATAATTTTAGTATTATTATTTTTAATTATTATTAAAATTATTAAAACCAGAAATTAAGACGGATTTGCAAGTCTAGCTGCCAATTTATAAGAATTGAAAGGAACTTAAAACGTACAATATTAAGGAGTATAGATTGGGAAATCTTAAAAAAGTAGCTCGTAAATTTAAACAATTTAAGATAATGGAGTAAAAGGAAATTCTAAGTAAATTGATAGTAAAATAACTAATGTTAAAAATAATAATAATAATAATAATGTAAATATTAATTTAAATAATACTAATAATATAAATAAAAATATTTTAAATAAAAATAATGATTAAGAAAATAATTAAAATAATTTTATTTAATTAGAAAATAATAAAGGTAATTTATTTAAATATAAAAAAAAATATTTATATATATTTTTTTTAAAGATTAAAATAATTTCTTTTGTATTGATGATTGCAATAATAATGATTAAAATGATAAAATAATAGATTCAATTTAAATAGAATGTTAATCAGACGATTCAAATTTTTCTAATGTATTTAATTTAGAAGGAGAATAGCCATAAAAAAAACTTAATAAACATAAAAAAAAAAAAAAAATGATTAAGACAAAATATAGATTTTATTTGATAATTAAGATAAATGAAAAAATGTTATTAATTATATAAAGTAAATATTTATTTTTAATTTGTATTCTATTTTAAATAAATATGAAAATTTTATTTTATATCAAAAATATATAAAACAAATAAAAAATAAATAAATAAAATATATAAAATAAAAAAAAAAAAAAATATATATATATATATATATATATATCTATATTTTTTTATAAAAATATTTAAAATTTATTTAAAAAAAAAAATATATAAAAAAATATATATAATATTTTTAAAATATATTAATTTTTAAATATAAATTAATTAATATATTAATATATTAATATATTAATATATTAATTTATATATTAATAATATAATTTATTATATATTATATTTAATGTATTTAAATATTAATACATGTTTATTCATTCATGCAATAATTTCTTAATAATTTTATAATAAATGAGATAATAATATATCGTTTAGTTATATAATAATATTTTTTTTTATTTATATTTTATAATAATATTATAGCATATTATTTATATATATATAATTTTGTATCATCTCAATATTATATATATTATTATTTATTGATAATTTATTTAATAAATTTTTATATTAATATATAAAATTTATTTATATATTATTAATATTTTTATAAGATATATAATTAATATTTATTTATGATATTATATAATGTTTTTAAATAATTTTTTTTTTTTTAAATATAATTATTAATTATTATATAAGATTTTCAAATTTTCATAAATTTTATAATAAATAAAATTTTTATATTAAAAAATATATTAAAATTTAATATATTAAATTAAATTTTTTTTATTTTAAAATTAAGTAAATAAAATTTTAAAATATATAAATATATATATATATATATTTATTATAAAAATATTATGTATTTCCTAAATAAAATATTTCATATTTTAATAAGCATATTGTTTATTTAAAAAATAATATATATATACATATAATGTTTTATTTTCTAAATTTATAAAAACAATTACAACAATAAACTAAATAATTATAAACTAATGAATATTTTAATTAAAAATTTATTAAAAATACTCAAAAATTTTCCCTCTAAAAAAAAACAATAATAATTTATAAAAAATCTACAAAAATTAAATAAATGTCTCAATAATAATTAACATTCGAATAAAAGAAAACTTCTTACGAATGGGTAATGGGTATAGATGAGGCTGGAAGAGGTCCAGTAATAGGTCCAATGGTATATGGCTGCTGTATATGGCCCATAACTAATACAAATAATAAAAAACATGAGAATGATAAAATGGAAAATGAAGGTTTTAATGATTCTAAAGCACTAACTATCGAAAAAAGAGAAGCTTTATTTGCCCGTATGTAGGAATTATAAGACGATGAGTTACATTTTGAGTATAAAATTTTAAGCGCGGAATTTCTATCGAATAGAATGTTGAGTAAATAGAGAGATTCTTTAAATTAATTATCATTTAATGCAGCTTATTATTTAATAGACTCAATTCTTTAATAAGAATTTAACTTAACAAGGGTTTATATAGACACAGTAGGGAATAAAGAGACTTATTAAAAAAAACTGGAAAATGATTATCATAAATAATACCCATAAATTAAATTTTGTGTCAAAGAAAAGGCAGACGCTGACTTCCCGGTTGTTGGAGCAGCTTCGATTTGTGCAAAAGTCATTAGAGATAAGGAAATAGAAAATTAAGAAATAGAAAAAAATAGCGTTAGTTTAGGTTCAGGATATCCTTCAGACCCATAAACTAAAAAATGGCTTTAAAATAATTTCGATGGGGTTTTCGGGTTTGGAAATATGGTTAGATTTAGTTGGAGTACTGTGGAAAATATATTTAAGGAAAGAGGGGTTTTTATTAATTTTTTTGAGGATAAGGTATAGGGTAATGGATGCTTTTAGTAGTTTTTAATATAGAAAGAAAAAAAAATGTATTTTTAAGGAAAATTGGATATTGTAAGGAATTTTTAACTTTGATTTATTAATTTATATACATGTATCTATTTATTATTATTATTATATTTTTTTAAGGATAAATATGAATTTTAATAATATTTTTTTTTATTTTATTTTAATGTATTTTTATGGTTATGTTTTATTTAAAAAATATCTTATTTTTTTCCTTTCTTTTTTTTTTTATTTTTAGTGTGTAATTTTTTTTTTTTTTAAAAAAAAAAAAAATACTTTTAATTTCTTTAAAATGAATACTTTATTTTTTTTGATTTTTCTTTTATATAATTATTGATTTTTTTTTTTGTAAAAAAAAAGTTATGTATAAGATAGATATTTAATTTATTAAATAAAAATTAATATATTATAAAATATTTCTCTATTAATTTATTTATATTTTTAATTTAGTCTATTAAATTGTATAAAAATAAAATTTATTTAAAATACACCTATAAAAATAGAATATAAATACTATTATATCAACTTTTAAATAATATAATTATAAAATATATTTTTTTAAAAAAAAGAGGCAGTACCTCCTATTTATATTTAATTTATCTATTTATTATTTGTTAAAATTTATAAATTTAATTAAAAAATAAAATATTTCGTATATAATAATACTTTTAATTTCTAATATATAATTTAACTATTTTATAAACTAAAATATTTATATATAAAAAAATTTAAAACTAAATAAAAAATACTAAAAATACTAAAAATAAAATAAAAAAAACAATGGATTACTTAAGTGATTAATCTCCCGAATCTCCCATATATAGAAAAAAAGCCCATAAAAATAACTTTTAAACTCCAAAAACATAATATAAAAGTGTTGAAAAACATGCTACTTAACTAATGAATTCACCAAAGCCTTCATCTAAAAAGAAAAACATTTTCTCTTGTACAAACAGCTCTTCGGATTTGTAGAATTTTACTTTATAAGACTTATAGTATCTGCATTTATAAAAAAAGCTTTCTTCTATATAGGAGAATATGGAAGATGATAAAGAGAATATTTTCAGTTAAATTTTAAATAATTAAAATAACTTTAATTATGGGAATAACAATAAGTTGGTGGAGTTTTTTTATTTTTTCAATGAAAAAAATGAAGCAATTAGGTCTCTTTTTACGTTTAATGGATAGTTAGAGATTATTAATTATTTAAATGAAAAAATTATAATGGAGATAATGGGTATATGTAAGGAATTTTCTAATTAAATTAAATGTTTAACGGCTTTTAAATAAATTAATAGTCTATTTTTGTGGAATATTTTGGTAATTTTTATATTATTACGCTAAATGGAGTTGCTTTTGGTAATTTTAATAATTAAAATTTTACTGCAAGTGCAAAGTTTTGTAAAATAGAGGATAATATTGTACATTTGAAAATATATTTTAATTGATTTTTTTTTTTTTTTTTTTTGATACTTATATTATTAATTAAAAATTTATATTTTTAAAATTTAAATTTTAAAAAAAAAATAATTAAATATATATATAAATTTTATTTTCGTATTTTAAATAATTTATTAAAATATTTTTTAATTAATATGTTATACTAGTTATTCTAGTATATAAATATTAAAATAAAAGATTTAAATTAAATATAAATAAAAAATTTAAAAACAAAATTATATAATAAATATTTATTTTAAATAATAAAAAAATAAATATATCATAATAATTAATAAAGTAATTACTAATTTTATATATCTTCTTCGAATAAAACCTTTAAATTAAATTATTTATTTAAATTAATAAATTTATTAAAAAGTTTTTATCTAAAAATTGCATAGCCAGTTATATTAAATTTATCAGAATTTAAATAAAATGAATTATTTAATAGTATAATTGTATTATTTTAAGGTAAAAAAAAATCACAAATAAGACCAAAGCTATTAAATATATCATTTTTATACATAATATACACTTTTTTATTATTTTTTTTAAAAAAACTATAAATTTCTTCCTTTTTTTCTTTACAGGGTTCATATAAAATTTATTAAAAACTTAAAAATTCTTAAATTTCATTTACTTTTTTATTTATTTCTTTTTAATTTTAACCAAAAAGCTTTTAGTCAAACAGAAGTCCATATGAGTATAAATTTTAGAAAATTCTTATGAAAAATTTACCTTTTAAAGTTCCTATTTACATTATTTAGTCAATAGCATTTTAAAATATATTCTTAAATAATTAATAATCAACATTTTCGCAATCTAATATAATCAAAGACCATGCAATTTATAAAGAAAAAGAAGGTGATTACACATAGTTTACCTAAACGAATTTAAAAAGCTATTTTCTAGGTTCTATATATCCTAGTTTAGCATTATTAAAGACTATATCTCCAAAAGAAGTCTTCGAAACTTCAATATATTAATATAATTAGACATTTAATTCGTCAAGGACATCTTTATTATATATTCTAGACCTTGAAAACAGGAAAAGAAGTTATATTATTTAGGATTAAGACATATTTTTTATATATTATTGATTATATAATTCCTAGATTATTTTAGTGTTTATTTCATTTATGCAATATATATTATCAAAATGAATAAAAAATGTAATAAATTCCATTATTATTTCTATTTTTTCTTATTATTATTTATTTTTCTGATTATATTTTTAGAAAATTTATATGAAAAAATTACGGAGAATTTCTAGTTTTTTTATTTAGTTAAAAATTTCGTTTTTTCCGTTTTTTTAATTAAGGTTAAATTTCTTAAAAATACCAAAATTTAATTTAAGTTTATTTTCTCAAATTCTTCCTTTAATTTTTCGATTATTTATTTTTCTTCATCATTTTTTAAAAAAATATTTTCAATATTCAAAAAACCTATTTAATATATAAAATTTATGTTATCAATGGCATATTAGGTGCTAGAATTTTCCATAAATAATTAATATAAGCCATTTTCGAGAATTTTATTTAAAAAATCGAAGTCTTAGGAGCTCTTTTATGCCTAAATATTATATAAGTTTAAGTATATGGCAATATATCGGATTTAATAGTCTTTATTTGTTATTTTTTAAAGGTATTCGCGGGTTTAGTTTATTGCATTTTGTATTTGTGTCCTTTAGAAGTTAATTAATTGATGGTTTTTGAATTTTTAATAGTTAAACCCTATATATTCGCATATTAAAAATATCTTTTTGTAATTCTATTTATAATAATAATTATATATATATATATATATATATATGTATATATATATATTGTTTAATATTACTAGTTATTTTTAATTAAGTTCATTTTAAAGCGCATAAATCATAGAAATATATACAAATTGATTTTAAATATTTAAATTATTGAATATTTTATCAAGTTTATATAATATATTATAGTCTATTTTTTCTAGTTAATATTAAATTTTAGAATAATCAATTAAATTGATAAAATCCCTTAATTATTACATAATGGATCCTTTTTTATTTCTTAAAATTTAATATGGGGAAACTAATAAACATTTTAATTTTTTATATAAATTTTTATGAAAAAGACTTTTAGATTAAATAAAAGAAGTCATTAAAAATTCTAATTTATAATAATTTTTATTTTCATCATTTATAAAAGACTTCATTAAAAAAATTTAAATTAATTCGTCTTATTCCATTATTATTTATTGAGTGTATTTTCGAAAATATAATGGGTCGCAATTATAGAATGTATAATAGGAAAATAATATATTTATTTTAGATTTTAAAGGAAGATTATCCATACTTTTATATATATTTTACAATAATAATTATTATAAATTTTTCATATTTTAACTATTTATTTAAGGAAATAATAAACCTATTTAAAGATAATATAGATTTGTATATGTATATATTTTTATTATAGGATTTTATTACTAAAATTGTATAAGTGAAAACTTAGTTTTTCTATATTGAAATTATTTATTGCTATTTAATATAAAGAAATTTATTTAGTAATTAATTCTTTTATATTTTCATTTTAATTATTTAAATTAGATAAAATATATATTCTTTAGATATATTTTTCCAATTATACATATTCTATTTAATTTTAAAATAAAAATATATATTTATGCACTAAAGTCTCTATATTATACCCGAAAGAAATTAAATCTAATAAAACTTAGATGAAAATTCCTTCACTTACTTAATTTTCATCAAAAGATAACATTTTTTATTCAATTAGATATAAAATTTCTTAATTATTTTATATTTATTTAAATTTTAAAAATTATAAACAGTTCGTCAAACGAGTAATTTAACTAGATGAAATATTTAAAATATTTAATTATTTTTTTATTAAAGAAAGTATTTATTAGAGAATATCTGGCATTATTTTATTCTATTTAACTTAGCATATTACTTTTATTGCTTTTATAAATTATAAAAATTCCATGTTTTACATTTATGTAATAATAAAATTATAACAAAATTTAAACAATTCTTAATTAAAATTTATTTATAAACTATATAATTTTTTTATATAAATAAAAGTAAAAAAAAATATATATAAAATATATATATATAATATAAATATATAAAATATATATATATATTTTATTTTTTATTTATATTCCTAAAATATTAATTTTAATATAAATATAATATATTTTTTATATATATAAATATTATTATAAACTTATTTATATACATTGTTATATAATTTTTTTATTATATATTTACTATTTATATCCGTCTATAATGTCGATTACATATTCAACATTTAATTAATTTTTTCTTTATTTCAAAATAATTTATGCTATCTCGTATAAAATTTATGGTGTAGTTTATATTCTGCTATATATATTTATTCTTAAAAAGCTTATAATTCTAAAAATATTACATAATTATTCTGTTTTAAATTCATTTAACTTTTCATATAGTTTTTCTGTTAATTATAATGCAAATATTGGATGTTTATCATATTAATAATCATATGAAAAAGCTAATAATATATTATAAATTATTTAATTTGTGAAATATTCATTTAATTTAGAATCTTGAAACTATTGAATTAATTCATGGTATATATAGTCGTTTTTAAATTTTAAAATACATAAATTTAAAAATAATTAACTTAATTGCTATGGATTTAATTTTTAATACTATTTATTTTCTTATATTTTCTCAATTATTTTTTAGCCTTTTTCTATACATTATTACTTTAAAACACCTTTTTTTTATTTTTTAACAAATATTTTTTTCTTTTTTACCTTATTAATGTAATTTAGTGTAAAAATTAAAGACTATAATTAATGTATTTTCATCCATTTATTCAATTTTTTCATTTATGAAATCTAGAAAATCTAAAAAATTAATGTTCTTGCTAATTTCTTTGGTTTTGAAAGTCTAAGAACTCGTATTGTCGAAGGATTTAAATATTTAATATATGTTTTATATATCTATTTTATGCTTGTTTTCTTTATATATTTCTAATATTTGTATAATCGTATAATATTTTTTATATTCGAATATAATATTATTATCCTTTTAATTATATTCAGATTGGAAAGTAGATTAATTATATTAAAATTTATAATTATTTATAAATGGTAATTTAAATAAAGTTTTTTTTTAGTATTTTGGAATATATTTAAGATTTTTAACATTTTTTTAATTTTTATCTTAAATTTTTTTAATAAGAATAAAATAATATATATATTTTTTTTATAAGAAAAAATTAATAGATTTGGTTCAATAATTTTTTAATTTATAAAAAATATATTTTATTAATAAGGTAAATATATATATATATCATTAGTTTTTTAAAAAAAGTGTTTTTTTTAAACTTAAAAAATTTTCTTTTATAATTAATTTATTAATATATATGCAAATATATATTTATATTTATATAGTTTTATTTAATTAATAAAATAATGATAATGCATTTAATTATTTCTTTTTATTATAATATAATATTTACATTTTTAAACATATAATATATATATATTTTTTTTTAAAAATTATGATTATATTATTTAAATTTATTTTTTACATATTATATATAATATAAATAAAAGATTTAGTATATTTATATCAAATATTTCAATTTATTTGTTTTTTCTTGTATTATATATTTATTTTTAAACGAAAGAAGTATTATATCCTATTAATTATTTATCTAATAATTATGATGAAAAACTTTTATATTATAATAATATATAAAATAATAAATAAAAAATTCAAAAAAATAATAATAATAATTATAAATATAAAAAAAAAAAAATTAAATAAAAAATTAAAAAATATATTAAAAATAATAATATAAATGTAAGTTAGACAAGAAGGTTTTTAACCGAGTAAAACAAAAAAGCTTAATATTTTTAAAAAATATTATACATAATATTAATTATATATATATATATATATATATATATATATATATATATATATATTTTTAATAAAAAGACTAAAACTCTAATTTTAATAAACAATAATTTGGAGGTGGAGGATTTCAAAGAAATTATAATTAATCCCAAAATCCATAATAAGGAAATTCATTTTTCAGTAATAGATAAAATTTCAACGATAGAAAGCCATTTAATAACAATAAGTAAAAAATAAATCAAAATATATACATATATATATAAATATATACATATAAATATGTGTTTTTTATAAAAAAAATAGTCATAATTAAGGAGGGTATAATAATAGAAGATTTGATAATAATTCCCAATAAAATTAAACTTAATAAAATACTTAATCAAATCCATAAAATCCATAAAATACGTAAAATCCATAATAATTTACGACAAATCAACAATAAGGAGGAACTTATAATTAAAGGAAATAATTTCCTTTTTCAAATAATTAATCAAATTATTATCAAAATCAATAATAATAAAGTAAACTAAGTATAGATTTTTAAAAAGAAATTCCGACAAATTCTTCTTTTTCAAACTTTTAAATAATAAAATTTAAAAATAATAATTTAGATTGCATAAAATTCCTAATGAACAACGAAAGTAAACTGTAAAAAGCCGAAATCCAATTTTTGACTTAATAATAAGGCTTAAATATATAAGAATTCGACGCTATAGATAAATAATAATAGAATTTTGTATTTATGAAATCTTTTGGAATAAATTAATATGAGGCAGTGACTTTTAAAGATATTAATACTAATATATATGGATTCGCTCTTATTAGTACTTTCCCAAATCAGTAAAATTAATTCTAAATCGCAAGTAAAGTAATATCAATAGCACATAGATAAGAAATTACTTAAATATTAAATCTCAATAATTATATTATAACATCTTCTTTAGATTAAACTATAAAATTTTGGGCTATTAATAATTAAGGAATTAATTGTGATGAAGTAAGAAGTCTATAATTTAATGAAGAACTTAAAAGATTATTAACATTAAAAACTCTTGAAATTAAACCTATTAGTTATATCTAAGTTTTCTAAAGAGAATAATAATAAGATATTATATTTTTTATAGGATTTAAGGTATTACTATATATATATATATATATATATATATATATATATATATATATATATATATATATATACATATATATATATATTAACCTTTTATTAATATTTTTTTTATTTTTAAGAGTGGAACAATTAATTAAGATAGAAGTTATAATCTTTTAGTTTTGAAATATAATTTTAATTCTAATTAATTAGAAATTATAAAGGAAATGTTCTTTGGTACACTTTAAAAAACTGAAATTAAAAAAATCAAAATTGATGATGTTAATTTAATTGGTTTTATTGATGTTGAGTAATAAATTGATAGAGGTTCTATATATATATTTACATTTTTTATATATTTTTATTAATATGTATATAAAATAGCTGATTAAAATACTTAATAAGATTAAATAAATAGAGGAATTTTATATTAATTAAATTTTAGAAATTGGTAGGATACAATAATTCATTAAAATAAATTTCCTTTTACTGATTTTGATGTATTTTAAAACAGTATTAATAAGAAAAATTACATTATATGTTCTGATTTGAAAAATATTTATATTCTTAGTTAATAATCAGAAGGGAAATATTTATAATTAAGATATGATAACTAACTTTCTTAAAAATCAGGAGAAATTTAGAAAATTTAAGTATATTCGGAATCTGTTAACCTAGTAGATATAAATTATTTGTTTGTTTTACATGGAAACTTCAAAACTGGTGAAAAAAGCAAAATTTCAGTGTCTTTGATTAAAACTGATGAATGAAAAGAATATTTATTTACTTTTTTTATTTTTTAAATAAAAAAAACAATAATTTTATCTTTTTTTTTAATAAATAATAAATATAAAGGGCATTTTTTACACTTTTTTTATTCTCAAAAAAAAATAGTGTTTTTTTATAAATTTATATATAAAAATGAATTTCAATAATTATAATAATTTAATTATTTTTTTTATTTTATATTTTTTAGAAAAAATCGTTTTAATTATTGATTTTTCTTTAGTAATTAGATTATATATTTTCCATATAAAAAATGCTGAAATACGCCTTAATAAGTAAAGGATCGTTTATTATTGCAGATTATTCAGAAAAGGATGGTGAATTTACATAAATATCTAGAAAAATAATAACGAAATAATAAAAAGAAAATACATAAAAACAATTTTTTTAACAAAATGACTTGATTTATTGTTTTGCTACTTTAGCATCGGAATAAACCTAAGTAACATTTCTAGTAGTAGGAGATAATTAGGAAATAATTAAATAAAAATCATTTAATTTTATTGATAATTTAAGTATTTAATATATAGAATATGAAAAAAACAAAAAAAGGGATTTAGAAATAGAAGGAAAATCAGCTTTTTTTACAAAAAAAATAAAAAGTTTATTAGTAAGATTAATATATAAAATTATTGATATTTAATAAAATTATAAAAAATATAAAAAAGGATGAATATAATGGAAACATTATAAAAAATAAACAAGTTGATGATCTTTAAAAATTAGAAAATGACTTAAATTAAGTAACTGAAATTGCTAAATTAAATATAGGTAACATTAAATATATATACATAAATATTATATATATATATATATATATATATATATATATATATATATATTTATTTTTAATTTTATAATAATTTATATTTAAATATATATATTATTATTTTATATTTTTATATTATATTTTTTAATAAACGAACTTTTTTTATTAAGATTAATTAATGTAAAGAGAAAATAAATTAAATGACATAAATTAAAAATCACAATATCTTTTAGTTTTTTCAAGTGATTTAAAATATAATGCAAAAAGATTATAGAAAAAAACTGAAAATTAATTTAGAATAAATAAATTTTATTTTTTATTATGTTTTATTTTATTTTTTTGCTTTTATTTTCTTTATTATTGAATATAGATATTTTTTTTTTATTTTAATTTTTTATATATAAATAATATTTTTCATTAATTATTTAATAAAAAAAAAGATATTAATTTATATAAAGAAATTAAAAATAAGTAAAATATATTTAAAAAATTAAAATGAATATAAAAATTAATCCATTAACTGGAGGACTTTAATTTGAAAGCCATGATGAATTAAAAGAAGAAATTTTATAATTAAAGAGCCATATATAAAAAATGACATACATTCCAGTACCTAAAAGTGATTTGAATTAATATTTTGATCCCTAAAGAAGTCGTTTGAGTAATGAAGAAAGATTTAAGGTAATAAAAAGTTTCGCATAAGAAATAGTTTAGGAATAAGAATTAAGAGAATTATTGGAAAAAAAATAATTTCCCATATGTTATGATGGATTTGAACCTTCAGGTAGAATGCATATTGCATAAGGAATTATGAGGGCAATTAATGTAAATAAACTAATAGACGCAGGCTGTATATTCAAATTCTGGGTAGCAGATTGGTTCGCTTTATTAAATAATAAAATGGATGGTGATCTAGAAAAAATAAGAACCGTAGGTTTATACTTTATAGAAACATGGAAGGCAGCAGGAATGGTAAAATATATATATATATATATATATATATATATATATATATATATATATATATATTTATATATATATTTAATTATTTTTTATATTTATATAATTTTTATATATAAATAATATTTTTACATATTACTTTATATATTATATACTTTTATATATTTATTTTTTAAAATTTTTTTTTTATATTTATTTTAGAAAATGCATAATGTCAAATTTCTTTGGGCTTCTGATGAAATTAATAAGTATGCTAATGATTATTGGCTTCGTGTTATTGATGTTTCTAGAGAATTCACAATTTCTAGAATGAAAAAATGTTCATAGATTATGGGAAGAGAAGAAAGTGATGAACTTAGGACTTCTTAATTATTATATCCTGCTATGTAATGTACTGATATATTCTTTTTAGATGCTGATATATGTTCTTTAGGTTTAGATTAGAGAAAAGTTAATATGCTTGCTAGAGATTATTAGAAACTTGGAAAGAATTTACACTCTCCTGTAATCGTTTCTCACCATATGTTAAGTGGATTAAAAGAAGGAATGGCTAAAATGTCTAAAAGTGATCCTGATAGTGCTATTTTTATGGAAGATACATATGAAGAAGTTAAAAGAAAAATTACTATTGCTTATTGTAAACCTCAAGAAATCTATAATGACAAAGGAGAATTTGTTAATCCTATTATGGATTATGTAAAATCTATTATTTTTAATGCTTATGGAACATTTACTATTTAAAGAAAGCCAGAACATGGTGGAGATATGTATTTTTTTTTTATATATATAATAATTATATATCAAACAAAAAAATATAAAGAGTTTATAATAATTATGAAGATTTAGAAAAAAATTATTTAGATGGAAGTCTTCATCCTAGTGATCTTAAACCTGCAGTCGTGGAAGCTTTAAATAAACTTATTTAACCTGTAAGGAATCATTTTTAAAAAGACCCTTTTGCTAAATAACTTTTGTAAAAAATATAATTCTGGTAAAATTAAAAATTACAATAAAAAAAGTTAGAATTACAATAATAATAATAATAATAATAATAATAATAATAATAATAATAATAATAATAAAAATAATAATAATAATATTAATATTAATAATAAAAATGATTTTTTTTATATTATTTTTATTAGAAATATATTATATTATATATATATATATATATATATATATATATATATATATATATATATATATATATTATTAATATTATTAAATAATTGTCATTAATTATAATAATATATTTAATTTCTAATATCAAAACATTCTTAATTCTTATTATTTTTGCCATAAATACTATTTAAATTTACGTGATGAGAAAAGTTTTTTTTTCTTTATTATCTTTCTTATTAGAGTAATATATTTTTACAAAAAATATTTTTATTCTATCTACTATTATTTTATTCAAATACTTCTATATTATTTATTTTATAACAATTATTTATACTATTGCTATTTATAGGAGGTAATAATTCATTCATAGAAGTACTTCTTTTTTATTAAATTTAAATTATACCATTTTCCTTATTTTATTAAATATTTTTTCTGAAAGGAGAAACATCTTATAAACTTTATTTAATATATTTTTATTATTATTAAAAATAACGATTATTTTTGATAATATTGTTTATTTATTCTTATCTTGAAGGTATTTTATAAATATTAATTTACTAATAATTCAAGTTTTCTTATTATTTTTTAAATAGCAAAATATCATTTTTGTTTTGCATTTATTATATATTTTACATTTAATTAAAATATTTTACTTTCTATTACTAGTATTATTATAACATTGGTATTTTTTTCATTAAATATTATTATTAAAACTATTGAATTTCTTTCTTCTATTTGAAGAAATATTTTACTTAATTTATCCTTTATTTTTGGGTATTCATAATAATTTTTTATATGTTATTCGATGTATATTCTTCTTATATTTCTTTTTACATATTTGGAGTTTCTTCTTATTATAAATTAAAGCTTTTAATTCTTTTTTATTTATTTATTTGAGTATTTTCTGGAATATCATATATATTTTAAGATTTATAGTCTAAACGTCTATCTTATGGTTTTTTTAAGTATATTTTTAGTCTACTTGAACTATTTTAGTCTACTTCTGCTTCTTCTTTATATCTTTATGAAAATATTTATTGCGAAATTAAAAAGTTTTCTTTTTATTTTATTTTATTTTTTTAATTTTTAATTTCTGATTCTTATTTTTCTACTTCTTCTTCCTCTTCCTCTTCCTCTTCCTCTTAATATTCTTCTTCTTAATTTTCTTCCTCTTCTTCTTAATTTTCTACTTCTTCTTTTTCTTCCTCTTGATTCTCTTTTTCTAGTTTTTTTAATTTTCTTCTTCTTCTTCATCTTCTTCTTCTTCTTCTTCTTCTTCTTCTTCATCTTCTTCTTCTAGTTTTTCTTAATTTTCTTCTTCTTATTGTTCTGTTTCTCCTTAAATTTCATGTTCTTCTTCATCATGATTTTGATATTCTTCTTAACTTTCATCTTATAAATATTCTGTTTCTTCTTAATTTTTTCCATGCTTTTTACTCGCATTTTTTTCAACTTCAATAATTAATTGCATTAATTCAATTAGTTCTTCTAATTTATATCGATCTTTTTCATAATATTATATCATATTATTAATTATAGCATTATTAAAAGTATCATATTCTGTATTAAAAATTTTATCATAATTTATATTTTATAATTTCATATTTATTATTAATTAACTATTAGTATCTACTTATGTCATTTCTAAAAAAACAATACCTAAACTATATATATCACTCTTTATTTAATAAAAAAAAAACCTTTATTTATATAAATATATATTTTCATAATACTGATTTTGATATCCTAATAGATTTATTATATATAAAACTCTAATATTGTTCAGGGGATGCATATCTAGTTGTACATCCTGTCTTTTATTTCAGAAATAAAAAAATATATATCATATTGTTTTTTGTTACAATATGCTTTGTATGTTATTTTTCATTTGTAACTCTTTTTGATATACCCAAATCAGCTTTTTATATTTTTTAAAAATAATACATATACTATATATGTATAATATTTACTAAATTTCCATTTTAAATCAATACCTAAAAGCAAATTTTCTGGTTTAATATCCATATGTATAACATTTTTTTCGTGTACGTCTTTTAATCCTTTTAATAATTATAAAGATGTTTCATATATATATAATTTAGACATCCATTTTTTGCTGTTTATTTTATTATGCATAAATACACATAAATCAACTTTTTTTTATTAATTTACAAAATTTAAAAAATTGTTTATTTTTAAATTAAAAGAAATACATTAACAGGCCTCCATTATTAGAAATTAATAACTTAAATTTTAATTAATTTAATAGTGTAAAATTTATATAGCTTATACTATATATTTTGAATTAAATCTTTATAAATTTTGAAATTCTTCTTCATTTTGATTTTTTTGGTAATCGCTTTTACATTTTAATAATTTTATTGCAACTTTTCCGTTCTTTTTATCTGTAGCTTTTAATACTAAACCTTTACCACCCTTTCCTAATATTCCTTGGTCAGGATTATTTAAAAGACCAGGATCTAGTTGGTAATTATTTTATTCGATAAATTATATAATGCCTTCTAAAGTTTATGTCGAAAATTTTAAACGTTCAGCAAGTTTTTACATTAATATGTCTTTTTGTGTATATTAATCTAATTATATATATACATTTTTTTTATTTTTATTAAACTTTAATTTTTTTAGGAATATTATTACTTTATACTTGTTGTTCATCTGTTTATGTTTTTAATCTTTTTTAAGTAGAATTTTTGGTACCCATTATAATTTTTTTGGTTGTTTTTATTTATTATAAATATAATATTATTTTTATATTATATTGAAAGTTATTAATAAAAGATAATAATAAAATGCTATTTATATTATATTTAAAATAAATATTTATTATTTTAAATATGATTTATTTTTATATAATTAGAGCATTTTTGATACATTTAAAAACTAATTTTAAATAAAAATATCTTTTAGTTTATTTTTAATAAAAATATATTTTATCAAAAAAAAAAAATATTTTAAATTAAATTTTTTATAATTCTACTAATTTTTTAAAATATTTTAATTAATATTAAAGATGAATATATATTTTAAAATTAATAAATTTTTAATATATTAGTCTAAAGTTCAATTATTAATAATTTTTATTTATTTAATCTTAATCATTATACTAAAATTAATTAGATTTTGTTATATAAAAATATAAAAATAAATATTTTATAATATATTTAAAAAAATCAAAAATAATCATAAAAAAAATATTTAAAATTTTACTTGTATAAATTATATAGAAAATAAGATTTTAATTAAATTAATATTTTTTATTTACTAAATAATTATAATATTTATAAATAAAATATTAAAAAAGTTAAAATTATTAATAAGTATTAGTTTTTATTATTTATTTATAATTAAAAAATTAAAAGTTATTTAATATAAAGTTAATTAAAATTGTTATTTATTTATTTATAAATATATATATTTTTATTTATCATTTTTTTATTAAATTTTTTTATATATATTTTTCTTATTTTACTGTATTAGGATAACTACTTTTTATTCATTTTTATATTTCATATTTAATTTAGATTTAAAGTTTATTTTAATCATATCTTCAATTCAATTTAATATTATTTAATATAATTAAATTAACTTAAACAATATTTTTTTATGAATTTAAATTTATCAAATTTTTATATCATTAGAAACATTTTAAATTTATAAAAACCTTTCATGATTACTTTTAAATTCATATACTTTATAAATTATAAAACATCTAGTTTCAAATTGAATTTAGTTCAAGTTACTTTTATCAATAAATAATATTTTGATATGCATTTATTAACCCATAATATATTCTAAAAAATCATTCAATTTAGAACAATTATCATTTTTATGTATACTTCTTTTAGTCTATAAATTAGCCACAATATTAAATTCTTGATATTTATCACATTTTGCAGTCACTTATTTATTCGTATGAATCTAATTATAATTTAGATTCTCCATGTAAATCATAGAACTCAAATATTAAATGTATTTCTTAATAAATATTAATATCTAAACCTTATATAATATTAATAACTTTAGCCTAATCATATAATTGAAATAAAGGAATTATAATTTACTTTTATTCTACATTAATTTCCTGAATATACTTTTGGTTTAATTTCTAATTTAAAAGAACTCCATCTTTAGTATAAAAAATAGTTAATTTTAAATCTTTTTTTACATTCCTCATTTTACTAATACCATAAATCCATTAGATATAGACTAAATTTTTTAAAAAGACATTTTAATTTAACCTATAAAGAATAGGATTTTTATTTTATACATAAAATCGATATTTATTAAAGTATTTGATAATCGAATTAGAATAAAAAAAATATTCTAGTTTTCAAATTACCAGCTATTCTTAATTTTTTCCTAACAAATACGATAGCCTAAATTATAATTAAAAGAATATCTCAATTAATCCTAACATTCTAAACATATTTGGTTGCCATATATATAGCTTTGATTGTAGTATTTTAATATTACATTATTATTATATACTTTTAGTTTTAAATTTCTGATTCCAAAGGAAATTATGAAGATAGATTTTTATACATTAGTTTAAATATTAATATAAATTAGGCCTTAATATGATTTAAGGATAAAATTAATTTTTTTATGTAAATATTCATGTTTAATTAATTTCCTGAGCAACTTGCATAAATTTAATTTAAATCAAATCTAATCGTTTTATTTGCATTATTTTCAATCTGATTTCAAAATTTTTGAATAAATTCATAGATCGATTATATATAAACAAAATAATAAATTATAAATTGGAGTATTTATGTAAGAAAAAAAATATTTAGGAAATTTCTCATAATATAAAAAGCTATAAAATATACTAAAAATCTTATTTTATTGCATATTTATATAAATTAAAGTTAAAATTCGAAATTTATTTAGGTAGTTTGAAAATGTATTTAGATTATTAATAAAATCTATAATAATATTTAATTTAATATTCAAATTATTTTAGATATATTTTATATTTTATTTATATATAAAAAAAATAGTTTTATAATTTTTATTTTAATAGAAAATTAATTTATATTATAATAATTATGATGATTTTACGAAGTATAAATATATATATCATAAAAATAAATAAAAAATATATATTTATAAATATATATATAAATAAATATATATATTTTAATTTATATTTAGTCTTTAAAATCAAATAATTTTATTTTTATTTATTTATATTAATTAATATCTTTCTAATTGTTTTATTTGTATAAATATAATATCTTTAAGTTAATGTCAATACTATATTAAAAGCGAAAATATAATTTTATTTTTGCAAAATATATGAATTATCTTTTAATATAATTATATCCAAATTATTATATTAACATAATAACTAAATAATAATTACTTATAAATAAAATATAGAATACATTCTAGAAAAATAAAAATTAAAATAATATAAAATTGATTGAAATATTTTAATATATATATATTTAAAAGTAATAATTTTATTTTTTCAATTTATTATATTTTTATATATAAATATAAAATAAATTATATTTTTTATATACATTAAAATTTAAATATTTTCAATTATATTATATTTATATAAACTATGTAAATGTAATTTTTATATTATTTAATCTTTTAAAACTTTTAATATGTATCAAATTAAAATTTTAATTGTTATCAATTTATATCTTTTTTATTATTTAATATTAAATTATAAAAAAATAAAATAAAATTAGAAAAATTATAAAAATTTTAAAAATGCAAAAATTAAAAGAATATTTTATTTAATAATAGAATTTTTAAATAATTACAATTTAATTTATTTTTTAAATAATATTTATTTTTTTAAATTTAATAATTAATTACATAATATATAAAAAAAATTATAAATTATTCTCATATAGTCCATTAAAAAAATTCTCTTACAATAAAAATAAATAAATGGAACAAAAAAATCTATAAATAAAACATTTTGATAATTATCTTTAAATTGTAAATAAAAAATTATGTCCTAAAAAAATTATATTAGATAATTAAAAGCAATTAAAATTGGATTCCGAAAAAGACGTATTTTAAAAATTTTCAGTATATAACAGGCATAATTTAATAAAATAAAAAAATTTAAGTCTTTAAGATTCTTTTCCTTTTAATTCATCTAAGCATCCTTAATATACAAATACTCAAATATCTACATAGGATACTTTAAATACAAAATCTAATATAAATATTGATAAAAAAAGCGATTATTTAAATATATTAAAGAACAAACCAGCTTTTCAAAATGCTTTAAACGAGGCTTATTTATTTAAATAATATAATAATGTGTTGGATAATATAAATAGCCATAATTATTAATTCGAAATGATGAATTTAGCTTAGAATAGTATTATTGATTAGTCAAAATTTAATGACTTTAAATTATTTGATTCTAAAATTAATTATTATTTGAAACTTTAATAAGAAAAAAAGTTGGAAAATATATAAAAAAATTAAGAAAATTAATTTTAATAATCTAATTTGGAATAAATACAAATTCCTGATATAAAAAACATAAAAAAAATTCAAAAATAATAAAGTGTAAAAAATATTTTAGCCAAAAATAAAATTTCTTATGAATAACAAGTCTAAAAAGGGTCTTTATCAAAATTTTAGGAAGCCCTTCAAAAATACGAAAAAAATATTTTAAATTTTCAAAAAATATAAAAACCAATTATTTAAAATAAAAATAAAAATAAAAATAAAAATAAAAGTAAAGTATAAAATATTCTTATAAGAAAAATAGACCAAAATGATAATTATTCAGGCCTAGATTTTTCCAAAAAATTAGTTTCACCAATCATCAATAGGGTAATTTCAGAAAATATGTTAAGATAATAAATCTAAAATATTAATAATGCTGGAAATTTAAAAAAAGCTACTACTTTAATTGATAATGAAACACCTAAATCTTAATTTTCTAGTAAGCATTCTAAATTTAAAATATAAGGTTTGTATATATATAATTATATTATATTTTTATTTTTTAAGAATAGAGATTATTACATGGACCATCAGTTAATATTTTGAACGAATTTTATAAAGATTGTAATAGTTCTTAAGAAAATTTATATAAAATTAATACTGATTTATAGAAAAAAAATAGGAATTCATTTTATTAATAATAAAAAGGAAATTTCGTAAATATTCATTTTAATCAAAATAATGAACATCATCTATCATTTTCTATTAACGAAAGTATTCGAATCGATACACCATTGTCAACTTATTAAAAACATTATTCTTTTGATTTCGAGTAGAAATACGCAAACCCAAGTCAATATTATTTCGTGAGTATTGTAAAGATAATAATTCTTTTAAACAGATATAAAAGGAACAAAGATATGTAAAAATAAAAAAACACTAAAGAAGTGCATTAAGTGTTACTAAAAAAACTGCTATATTGAATAGGAAGTAATAAATATGTGATTAATTACATTAAATAGGGTTTTAAAAGGACGGAAAAATAAAAGGTCCGTTTTTAAATTTTATCCGCCTTTTAAATTCAACTTGTCTAAATTTGGGTAGATACCTTAGCTTTTTCGGGTTAGACATTAAATGGGATATATCAAGCAAAATAATATGGAAAATAAATAACTTACATATGGTATTTTAGTCTATTCGGATTATTAGAGTAAGTTTATTCCTTTAAATATTCAAAATATTACTTCTTTTGAGTTTAATACGGTTTGG